TTTGCTGCTTCTGGACCAGAAGAGTTAGTGACAGTACATGGTATCATGGATAAAGAGCAGTGTTTGGTTATTCTTAAAAATAATGTAGGACAAATGGTTTATTGCTGGGATATCTGCTCTGGATCTTCCCAATTCTCTCTTTCAGCCATGTTAGTGTTCAAAATCTTTTACTCGTTTTTTTTTTTTTTTTTTTTCGGGAGGGCGCGACCTATTTTCTTTTTTGCTGTCTCTTACCAACAGACCTAACATTGTAAACCTGTTACACACGCAAAGGCTATTCCCACGGCAAATGTTCAGACGATCTCCCTTCTTTACTCACACCTAAAAGTGTAAAAATGAAATCGTCCAGTTGTTAGATTTAAGCTCCGAACCGCCATGATGCCAGCGTTACGTCGATTCATTCTCATTTCTTCTCTGTTTCAAAGGCGTTGCCACTTTTTGAAACATACAACAGCGTCTGTTTATCCATATACAATAAAGTCTTCATCTATTAAAGTGTCAATCGTTATCTATCATCCTCATACACATTTTCTACCTCCCCCTCTTTCATTCATATCACATACTTCATTCATCATTTGCATTTTAGCCGTAAAACTCTTAGCGTCTGTAGCATTTGAACCTTGTATTTAGGGAATTTTAGTGATAACTCCCTAGCAATAAAAGAGAAATGACCCCTACACCAGTTGTTCTCTTATTTCATCCCTTTCTTTCGGGGTGGGGGGGTATTATTTGACTGGTTTAAGCACCATATTTACCTTAATTCAGTTTATATTTAAGTAATACACTTACGATATTATGTTAGGCACGGTAGAGTAATGGATAGCGGCTCGGATTGAGTTCGAATTCAAGTGAATCCATTACGTGCTAATACCCTTGGGAATCCTCTTCATCTATACGCGCGCCCAGCAGAACAGACCGGGTAAATAGCAGGACAGACCGGATTCTATAGCAACAGGTCGCAGAAAGAAATGGCAATCTACATGTATCGAAAGATACATTATCATGTATTACACATGGAACATAACTGAAGATTTACCATAAATAGTTGATTCCGTAACATATTCAAAATAATGAAATCAGCCACTGAAAATCATCTTCGAAAATTGTCATCTCTTTAAGTATGACATTTGTCAAACATCTAAGCCCTAGTATGGTGGCTTTACCTGTAGAATAGATTGAGGAATTAGTGAGCCGAGTTCAAATTCCAGTCGAATACATTACATTCACTTAGGCGCTAATATACTTGGGAAAGGGAAATAAACAGCAGGACAGACTGGGTTCTATAGCCTTGGTTGACAACTGGTCTACCACAGAAAGAAATGGCATCCTACATCAGGGAATAAAAATCTGCCTCGTCAGTCATGTATCGAAAGGTACATGATCACTTAAGCATGTATCAGACATGGCACATAACTGAAGATAGCCAACATATTCAAAATAATGAAATCAACCATTGAAAATCATCTTCAAAAATTGTCATCTCTTTAAGATAAATGTAAGACAGCGGGTTTAAACAAAAAAAATGGGACAGATAATTTGTCAAACCTCTAAGCCCTAGAATGGTGGCTTTACTTGTAGAACAGATTGAGGAATTGGTGAGCCGAGTTCGAATTCCAGCCGAGTCCATTACATTCACTTACGGTATGAATCCTCTTCTTCTATTCCCTCCCCCCAGCTATGGATGGCAACTGGTCTAACGCAGAAAAAAATGGTAACCTACTGCAGGAAAAAATCTGCCTCGTCAGTCATGTATCAAAAGGTACATGATCGCCTAAACGTGTATCATGCGTGACACATAACTGACTGACTGACTTTCCAGTCGAATCCATTACATTCACTTACGTGCTAATACACTTGCGAAAGGTATGAATCCTTTTCTTCTCCCCCCCCAAGCTATGGGTAAATAGCAGGACAGACTGGGTTCTATTGGATGGCAAATGGTCTACCAGAAAGAAATGGCAACCTACTGCGGGAAAAAAGAGCCAGTGTATAATGCATAAGCGTGTAATACGGATGGCACATAACTGACTGAATACACTTTACTTTTACTTTGAGAGTTACACTATGTGTCAATTTGGGTTAGGATTTTTTTCATATTTATTTTTTTATAAAAATGTTTATTTTTCCAATTGTTGTTAAATGTATTTTCCATCTTATTTACTTTTCCGTTTTTTTTTTTTTTTTTGTTTTTTGATCGCATTTCAAACAAATTAAATGGCCCTAATTATAATCTTTCTTTATATGCTTTCAACATCGTTCAGTTCTTTGGAATTACTTTTTTTTTATGAAGAACGACAAATTCTACGACCACTCCGGGCGGCACGGACGCTAGATACGCCGCTGACATTTGAACCCCCCTTTTTTTTTTTTATTTACTTCTCCAAAAACCGAAAGAAGACTGTGTAAAAAGCAATCAATCTTTACACAAATGTGGTTGCTGTGTCGGGATAAATTGACCTACATTCATATTATGTTGTCTAAGCATTTTAATGAACATTAAAATAACATTAAGCGTTAAACAAGTTGTTAATGGACAAACAAATTGAAATTTATTATTATTATTATTATTATTTTTATTTTAGTTCCTTTCATTTCCATTGTGTACACGTTTCTTTCCGGGTCCCGACCAGAGACCTATTCTTAGAAATGGCATCATGGCATTTTCAACTGACCAATTAAATTGATAAAACCCTTCGTAAAGTGTGCGCTGTATCGTGAGAACAATTTTTGTATTTTTTAAGGCAAGGAATCCCTCCAATGAGTTTTGGCATCTTTTCCAACCAATCCAGGCGCTCCAATTACAACTGGAGTTGTTGATGTTCTCATGTGCCACATTTTTGAGATTTCCGTTTCAAGGTCCTTGTACTTTTATAAGATCTTCAAAATAATTGCATACCATATCAATAAGGAGGCATTTTTGTTTGTTTAAACAATGTTGCTTTGATTAATTGGTAGTCAAATAAAATTGAAATCTCCATAATTATGGTGTTATTATTACTTTTTTAGAGGTTGCAGGTTTTAGTGCAGATATTGGCCCCTCTAGCATTCAGTGGATGCCAATATCGTGCAACCTTATACAAGATTATTAATTATTTCTGGATATTTATCACAGAATCTGCATTTTGGGCTAACACAATATTTTACTGTGTATGCTTAATAATTTCTAGTTAACAATCATTGATCCTGTGCAGCAAGGATGAAACCTTCGATTTCAGCTTTTAACCCTTCACTACGTCGCCACTGATAGGTACAGGGTTTGTCTACATGAGCTTGTTTGGTACGGCCAATTAAAAAAAAAACATATTTTAGCTTCAGTCGGTGTATTGTGCTTTAAACCCATTTGAAACTCCAAGTGACTTCAAACGGAATAGGAGGACAGATTTCACGTTCTTTGATAAAATCGTCATCCATTATTATTATTACTATTATTTTCTAAATTAGGTGGATCACAACAGAAATTGCAGATTGGCCTGATCCTCTGAGTCTATATATTCAGTTGGTGCTAACGCTATGCAACCTGATACAAAATGGTCAAATTATTATTATTATTATTATTATTATTAATATTTTTATTATTATTATTATTAATTTCGATATGCATACCTACCAAGTCTACGGGAAAGTTAAGGCAGGCAGTGGTGCATTGTTATGATTTGTTTCCTAACTCCCATAACATCAATAGCGATGAATGGACAAAGTTCTTCTTGGTGTGTTGGTTGGATTTCTCTTCTGGGATTCAGGGATAGTGTCGCACCTATTATGACTGCTACTATTTTGTTTTCAATTTCCATATTTTTTTCTATTTCAATTTCCTTTGTTTAAAATTACAACACTTCAATCAGTCAGATAGCTTTATCCTTGGATTTTCTTTTTTTCATAATTTTAATTGCTTTTTTTTTTTTGCAGAATTTACTAAATTTTTGTATTTTCAATTTCTTTCATGATTGAATATTTTTTGTGTCATTTGACTAATTGTATCATCAGTCCTTTGTTGTTTTTGTGTCAGTAAGCCAATAATTGTCCCAATTCTAGCTGACCTTTCCACCTTCTTTACGGGGTATGTAAACGGTCTGCATCAGCTTATGAATGATACATGTTAAGAAAAAGCTTTTTGTCTTAAAATCCATTTTTCTGACATCATTTAGAGTTCAGTTCAAGATGTTGAAACTATATTGGACCACTGGGATGGCAATGATATTAATTAATTCTGTTCTGAGAATTCAATTCAGTTTTAATATCAGTCTCACCCTTTCTATATTACTCTAGACAGTCTTTCTTTCATTTTCATGGTTAATTCCTTCACCCTTGTTCACAAACTTATAAAGCTTCTTCTTGCTCTAAATATTTGACTGTTCATTCCTAATAAAGGAGGTTTGCTGTAGCGATTCTCTTTTAGCACATTTATCCAAACCGAATTCCATTCCAATGTCATCACTGAAACATTTTACTGTTTTCAGGAAACCTTCCAGCTCACTGTCATTCATAACATAAAACTTTAAAGTATATGGCTTATTTTCTTTGGAGGTGTCTTATCCCGTCCTGATAAGTTCGCTGGTTAATGATATTAGGGATATACAAAATAATAAGGGAGACAAAGAGTCACCTTGAAATGTTCCTCTCTTGATGTTTATTTCAACAGATTTAGAGACTCCATTTATATGATGGAGTTGAAGTGCTGCTTTCCATATCGATATACTTTGTTTGATGAAAGTAATGACGACGAGTGATACCTTGTATATATTTAAAGACATTAAGATCCAGGAATGGGGTACATTATCGAAAGCCTTACGCTAATCTGTCCAGGCAGTATTGAGATTTTTCTTTATTATTATTATTATTATTATTGTTGTTGTTGTTGTTTGTCCCTTCGTTAGTTAGCACCACCGTTACGCCCGGCCAATACCTCACAGATAATGGACTATTCCGCATTTTATCGCGTGGAAAAAGTTTGTTTAAAGTAGAGAGAGGATTAATTCGAGCCATTAACCACCCGAACAAAGCTTGCATCATCTGGTATTCCCAAGCGGTTACCCATCTAGGTACTGACCAGGCTCAACGTTGCTTAACCTCGATAATCGTACCGGAACGGGCGTTTTCGATGTTACATGGCCGCAGGCCCTTAGTGTAATGAAATAGGATGAAAAACAAGATGTGACTTTTCTTTTTTCTCATCTCACTTGTGCCATTTTTACCAAAGTTCACTTTCTGGTTAAACAATGCATTGGGCATTTACTTTGAGGGTTGCAATTACAATTAAGGGTCCTAGAGGAGGGATGGGATGGGCTGGTCTGCCCCCGGTTGCAAATTGTTGAAGGCGGCATTTAGGGGAATTAGTGAATATGAATTTTTCTTCTTTCATGTGCCTTGAGGACGTAGAAGTTCATGGCCCTCCACATCATCCTGTCCCTTGTAGCTCTTAATAAGTTTTGTCTTTTTCTCCCAAACCCTGTTCTACCATTCATTTACTCAAGCCCATCATGTTTCTTACACGCTGCTTTCTTCTGTCGCTCTTTCCCTCAATCTGTCCCGTGAGTATCAAATTTTCCAAGCCTTCTTTCCTCATTACGTGCCCCAGAAATTTCAACTGTCTCTTCCTGATGTTAAGTATTATTGTTTCCATTTTGTCCCAAATAAGGTCGTTGTTCACAAATTCGGTTCTTGTTATCCTCAGCATCCTTCTGTAGAACCAAATTTCTGTTGCTTCGAGTCTCTTCTTCATCTTTGAGGAGATTGTCTAGCATTCTTTGTCAAACAGGAGGACAGATATCACGTAAAAGTTCAATACACTTTTCTTTGTATCAAACGAAATTTTCCTGTCTCTTAATACTCTGCTTAGCTTTTGGAATGCATCTTTAGCCTTCCCAATACGTCTTCGGATCTCAGTGTCGCACTTTCCCTCCTCTGTTAGAACACTTCCCAGATATTTAAATTTAGTTTCTCCAATGTGTAATTTGCATAAATTTCCCCGATTTGTCAATGTCCCCGATTTGTAAATTGGCAACATTTTTCTATTTCACTGAAGCAGCCATTAAACACTTCTATCTTCCCTTCTTTCTTTCTTTCTTTCTTTCTTTCTTTCTTTTTTTCTTTTGTATGTCTTGTTTTCTCCAAAATTGTAGTTTTTAGTCCAAATAGGAAGTTTCCTTTCCGTGTCTGTTAGCATTTTCTTACTTATATTAGATTATGGTCGTCAATAATGAATCTTTTAGCAATAAAATAGTAATAGTTTTACATCTTATTGCATTTAAATAGATTTTGATGTTGTGTTTAAATACAAGAAAATTTAACTTTAGATGGATAGCAATCAAATCAAAATAAATAAAATCTTTGATAGATAGATAGATAGATAGATAGATAAATAGATAGACAGATTCTTACAATAGATAATATAATTCACCCTGGGAGCTAAGATGAACAGATTGATGGATGAGAGAAAATAAAATTTTGGTTCAATTTGTAAAACAAAATACGGAAAATTTAATTTCTCGTAATAGAAGCTGCACCTTAAATCAGCTTAGAAATAGGAACCTTGGCATTTTCACTTGAGAGAAAATGAAATATAATAGATAGATAGATAGATAGATAGATAGATATGAACAGATTGCGATGGATAGATACAAATGAATAAAATGATAGATAGATAGATAGATAGATAGATAGATAGATAGACAGATAGATAGATAGATGAACAGATTGATAGAGAGACAAACAAAATAGGAAAATTAATGTATAAGCTTAAATACAATAGAATAGAGTAGAATAGAATAGAATAGATAGATAGATAGATATGAAAAGATAGATAAACAAAATAGGAAAATTATACGTATATACTTAAATACAATAGATAGATAGATAGATAGACAAAATAGGAAAATTATACGTATATACTTAAATACAATAGAGTAGAATAGATAGATAGATAGATAAAGAGAGAGAGAGAGAGAGAAATAGAAAGATTATACTTGTATAATTAAATACAATAGATAGATAGATAGATAGATATCAATGGGAATTGGAACTCGGTTCGATTAACAATTTCGAGCTCTTGTCCATTTATTATCATCATCCTTCGACCCCCCCCCCATGTTTGGTCGAAACTCCATTGACAATGCCTTTCCTCACTGTTCGGTCCCGTATTGCTGTCCCCGGATCCCCAATGTCCAACACTGAGTCCCGAACTATGGTGTCTGAGAAAGACAATTTTCGTGAAAAGACACTTCCAGATGGATGCCATAGGATTAAGGATGAGACGATTTCTCTGTCCGCTCGGTGGCAGTGGCCTGCAACCTGTAATCGTTTTTTTTTTTTTTTTTTAAGTTTAAGAGAGGTTGGTCTCAGTTCTCTGTAGATTGTGTTATGCGTTACATGAGATCATGAACTTATCCATTACACCACCAGCGCATCCAAGTTTACTGCCCTGGTATTACTAAGCGGTCAGCCATTAGTAGGTTTAACGTTGCTTAACTTCGGTGATCGTACGGAAACCAGTGTTTCAATGAGATACGGTCGTAAGCCGAAGGCAGATAAGAGAGAGAGGAGGAGAATAGAAAGAGAAGGAGAAGGAAACCAAAGAAAAACTTAAGAGACTGAGAGACGAAATAAAAAGAGAGAAAAACAAAAGTGATGAGCTTTGGTCATTGACCGATTAACGATGGCGTGTAAACAAAATGTCGAGATTTTCTCGAGAGGGGTAACGGATTTCCACGACCCAAGTAGCAATCCGGATTAAGGAACAGCATGGAAAGAATTGATTTAAAATCCTGATGTTTGGGGTCAGATTTTGGGAAGTTGGTCGGCCTGAGAACTTTTTGACATTTCAGGTTATAAAACATAGAAGTTGATTTCAACGCTCCAATGAAATGAAAGTTAATTCTATTTCAGTTCGTTCGTGTTATCCTTGGTCTGGTTTCCAAGTTCATATTTAACGTTTAATAGGAATAGAACTTCCGGTATAAACTTGGACTTTAAATTACATTAACTTAAAAATATTTTTTAATATCCCAAAAATATTTTAAAATCAGATTCAAATGAAAATATATTTTAAATATGCCAAAAGTATTTTTTTAAATAAATTTAGAATATTGTTTGTTTAAAGAAAGTTGAAAATAAATAATTACTCTACAAACAACTGGATGAAACGGCAAACCGGGATCTCTTTGTGTCTGTCTTTAACTTAAAAAATATTTTAATTAAAAAAATTGTCTGTTTGAAGAAAGTTCAAATAAAAATATTTACTGTATAAACAGCTTGTATTTTTAAAACTTATTCATTTAAATATTTTTTTAAGGAGATTAATTTAAAAATATTTTTAAATATTTAAAATATTGTTTGTTCAAAGAAAGTTGAAATATAAATAATTGCTCTACAAACAGGGCGAAACAGCAAAGCGGGATTTCTTTGTGTCTGTCTTTAACTTGAAAATATTTTAATTAAAAAATTGTCCGTTTGAAGAAAATTAAAGGAAAAATACTAAATTATTATGCGGACGCACCACACAATAACAGACTTTTAGTATTATATAGATGTATTTTAAAGTTTTCATTCTAAAATCTGGACAGATTTAGGGAAATGTGACAAAAATTTGTGATAACAAAATACAAAGGTGTATTAGAATAGTGAATGATGCCTTCTAAAAGCTAAACAAAGTATTAAGAAACAGGAAATTTTCATTAAACTCAAAGAAAACGGTAGTGAACTGTTGCGTGATATCAGACCAGCCACAATTCCCTCCCTATTCCATCGATGAGAAGAAAGTTCCACGCGAGCAGTGTCTTCCCGCTAAACACTGCCCTGTGGAACCGACTCCCAATAGGATGTTTCCCCGATCACTGCAGTCTGAACCTATACGAGGCTAGCGTTAATCGTTATCTCCTTACACACAAATGGTCTTCTAACGTAATCTTCTACCTCGAGTGTCCCTCGGTCCTTGTAAAGGGTGACTCTGACTATAAAAAAAATATGGTATTAAATTCTGGACAATCTCGTAATAGACGAAGAAGAGGCATCAGAAATGTTGTTCTACAGATGGATGCTGAGAATACCATAGACTGAACCTGAGAGCAACGACGAAATTTTAGAGAAAATGGAAATAAAATGGACGCTTATACTTTGAGTCATTGAGTGACAGTCGACATTTCTAGGAGATATAGTGAGGAAAGATAGCTTGGAGTATTTGACACTCACAGGACATACTGAAGACAAGAAAAACTGAGGTTAAAAGCGAGAAACCTATCTAATGAGTTTGTGTAAATAGATGGAAGAACAGGGATTAGGAGAGATAGCGAAAAGAGAAGTCATACTTTGTTGAGTATTTTGATTTTGCTTATAAAAGCCAAGATTTTTCAGAGATCGGAAAATTTGTATTCAAAATTCTTTAGAACACCAGGAAAATATCCCGAAATATATCGATCGAAACGAAAAGAAGAACTTTTGTTGGTTTTAAAATAAACTTACATCTATCTATCTATCTATCTATCTATCTATCTATCTATCTATCTATCTATCTATCTATCTATCCGTTTGTTCCCATCTCAACTACTATCTATCTTCTCTCTCTATATTCGTTTGTTATCTATCTATCTATATCTATCTATCTATCTATCGTCTGTTGCCATCCATCCATCTATCTATCTCTATCTATCTATCTATCTATCTCTATCTATCTATCCGTTTGTTCCTTATCGATCTTTATATATATATATATATATATATATATATATATATATATATATATATATATATAGGTAACTATACTAGTCTATCGAAAATCTATCTATTTGAATTATTGTTTTGTTCCCAATAATCAAATCAATCTCGAATCTATCTAAAAAAAGCACTCTTTTTTAAAAAAGAAAGATCCTAGGAACATGAAAGTCTGTCTAGAAAAATCTATCGCACAGATACAGGTTTAAAGCCCAAAGAAAAAACCCCGACACGAGTAAACAACTAACTAAAAAGAGCTCAATACAACCGTAGAGCAGACCTATAGTCAAACCTATGAGCCAGACAAACCTCCCCTTTCCCTGACGATCCGCTTAGGTGAAACATGGGTAGGTTTGTCTGGCTCTATCACTAGGTTTGACCATATATATATATATATATATATATATATATATATATATATATATATATATATATTCACGGATATTTTTCCATGTATTACATTCAAATGATGCAATAAATTTAACAAATTAAAAAAGGTTTTAACGAAAAGATCCTCAAAGCTAAAGAAAAACCCCAATCTACGTTAAAAATTGAAGCAGACACTGAATAGAATCAGCTACGAATGCTGTAAAAATGTTCTAAAATGCCTATAAAAAAGAACAGTTTTCACGCGTTAATACGCGCTCGACAATGACATTGCAACATAAAAGAAGAAATTCTATAGTGAATAACTGTTCACGTTCTCATGAACGCTAAAGCATAACTGTCAGCCATAGCATTTAAACGTAAAATGAAAAAATTCAGTAATGAATTTTGTTTTACCAGCTGCACCTCTGATGATGATCTTAGAAAGAGATGGAAAGTAGTTGGGAAATAAAAGGGATTTTCACTGTTACAGTGCATTTGTCATACATGGAAAAAATATCCGTGAATATGAACGGATTATGCTAAAAATAAGTAGACATAATGTTTGTAATTTATTTGATCACACATGCCTGAAAGAGAATTTGTTGCCTAAATACACGCGCACACACACAGACACACACACACACACACACACACACACACACACACACATATATATATATATGTATATATATATACCCGGTGTAACAGAAAAAATTGCCTAATTGGTTTAACAGCATTGGAAAATTGACTATCTCACAAAATGTTCAATATATAAAAAAAACTGGTTGAGTTTCTTTTTCCCACGTTTTCAGATAAGACTTTTACCCATCATAACACCATTTGTCGTAATAATCACTGAAAAACCCTTTGAGTTATTCAGCTAGAAAGCGGGCAGGTTAAAATCGTTTTGTGTCAACTCTACTATGTCTTCCCAAGTGAGGAATGGTGAGAGGAAAAAGATCATTCAGACCTTCCATAATGGTGCCAACCTTCATACTCTGGCTTCCATCATCAAAGTCCGTTCAAGAACCATCAAGAGAACGGTGAATATGTTTAAAAAAGAGGGAACACTAGAGAGGAAAATTGGATCAGGAGGTCACAGCAGAAAGATGGATCATCATTCAATGGCGTTATAAAAACCTCGGAGAATTCCAGTAAGATGTCTTTAGTCATTTCTAAGATACAATAGTTCAAAGCTTAATCTAACAATTGGACAATTTTGTAGTTACATGATTTGAACAAATTTGCTGTTACACCCGGTGAGTGTGTGTGTGTGTGTGTGTGTGTGTGTGTGTGTGTGTGTGTGTGTGTATATATATATATATATATATATATATATATATATATATATATATATATATATATAAAAAAGCTTAAACACTAATATTCCATGGAATATTAGTGTTTAAGCCTTTTATTATATCCTTACTCTGTCCTGGACATTGAGTTCTACCTGGATTCTTCCTCTTGGAATTTTTATTCTAAAAATATACATGTATGGGTATTTATATATTTTGCATATGTATGTATATTTTAATATTATCTATCTATCTATTTATCTATCTATCTATCTATATATATATATATATATATATATATATATATATATATATATATATATATATGTGTGTGTGTGTGTGTGTGTGTGTGTGTGTAGATAGATAGATAGATAGATAGATAGATAGATAGATAGATAGATTCAAACGTGTTTCGAATAATATAGACGTATTATTATTCATTTTTATAAATATCCTTTCTAGTTCCTAATAAGTTTCTTGATCTTAATTTGAAATTCATCAAGGAAGACATTTTTTCTTACTGAAGGACTTTCGATCTCCTCCGAGATCATCCCCAGGTGTGTATTGAGAAGAAAATCTTATTGTAATAGCGATGCTTGTGATGGCAATTTTTGAAAGCACGCGTAAACGTGCTCTGTTATAATTACTTTAAATTTTAAGTTACTGTGATCTCACATAATACTGCAGCTCCTAATCTCTCGCGCTTACACGTATATACGTATGTTTACGGGATAGCGCATGTTCCATTTTATAAGTGTTAAGTCAGGTTTGAATAAAAAAAAGATAGAACAAGCTTTATGGATAAATTTAAAGAAAACGTTTTAAACAAAGAGAAAAAATACGGATAAGAAAGAAAGAAAGAAAGAAAATGTAAAGAAAGAAAATGTAAAGAAAGAAAGAAAGAAAGAAAAATATAATAAGAGATAAAAGATGCATAAACAGTAAGAACGAACGAAAGAAAGAAAATAAGTGAGAAAATACGGATAAAGAAAGGAAGAAAACTTGGGTGAAGAAAGAAAGAAAGGTAATAAGAGTAAATGCGAAGAAAGAAAGAAAGAAAGAAAGAAAGAAAGAAAGAACAACAGAAAAAATAAGTTAGAAAATACGGATAAAAAAGAAGACGGAAAAAGAGGAAAAAAAGACAAGTAATAAGAGTAAATAAAAAGAAAGAAAGAAAAAACAAACAAACATAAGTAATAAGAGAAAAATGTAAAGAAAGAACTGTAATAAGAGAGACAAAGCGGATAAAGAAAGAAAAAAGAAAGAAAGAAAGAAAGATGAGAATAAAGAAAGACAGGTAACGAGAGAGAAATTCCAGATAATGAAAGAAAGAAAAGGAAAGAAAGAAAATAAGTAAGAAAATTCAGATAAAGAAAATGTGGATAAAGAACGAAAGAATGAAAATAAGAAAGAAAGAAAACAGATAATAAGAGAGCAAATGAAGAGAAAGAAAGAAAGAAAGAAAGAAGACAGATAATAAGAGAGCAAATGAAGAGAAAGAAAGAAAGAAAGAAAACAGATAATAGGAGAGCAAATGAAGAGAAAGAAAGAAAGAAAACAGATAATAAGAGAGCAAATGAAGAGACAGAAAGAAAAAAAGAAAGAAAGAAAGAAAACAGATAATAAGAGAGCAAATGAAGAGAAAGAAAGAAAGAAAGAAAGAAAGAAAACAGATAATAAGAGAGCAAATGAAGAGACAGAAAGAAAGAAAGAAAGAAGACAGATGATATGAAGTAATATAAAGAAAGAAGGAAACTAGGTGAGAAATTACGGATAAGGAAAGAAAGAAATAAAAAAGAAAATTAGCGAGAAAATACGTATATAGAATATAAGGAGAAAGAAAGAAAGAAAGAAAGAAAGAAAGAAAGAAAGAAAGCAAGCAAGCTTAACATGATATAAACCACATGCGCCATTTTAGATCTCTAATGAATTTTGTCGTGGCAAACGAAAGATCCGGGTGAGAAACCACCATGTTTCGTTGAACTGTCATAATTGAGGTGTGTGGGAGTGTTCATTAAAACAAAATGTCTTCCCTCAATACAAACAAAACAACGATCTGTTGGTTGATTATCTTGCGGTAAACAAGAAATTTGTCTACACCGAATTTAACACCGATATTTTACGTTTCCACGACAGCCACTCACCTTCCCCGCCATTGACATAATATTGGGAAAATCTTCGCAGAGTCGTCGAATTTTTATTGGCTCTTTCTTGTCTGTATGATCAAACATTATGTCGTTGGAGTGGCAGCGGAAGATCGTCGAACATCTGCTACGCGGACGTTGTCAAAAATCTCCGAACTTTTTGGTAGCAGCTCGTATATATTTAACTATACATGATACAAAAGTCCATATAATCAGGCAATCTTCTTATATATTAAAAAATTGCACCCAATAAGGAAATTGAACAGAGACATTGAAAATTGCTACAAAATTAAAACATTAACCTTAAAAGTCGAGCGATGTTCAAAAATAATCTCGTCAGGTTGAAATTTTCATGTGGGTGTTAAACATGGCGGCCAACACGTTCAGAAAGTTATGAACTATCAGAAAACCGTTTCCTCCGATCAATGATTAGAAGCGTCTGAGAGCAAATGTAGTTCCCAGAAGAGCGCATCTTTCATAGATTAGCGTAGACTTGCGATACGGAATAATAAAGATCTGTAGCAGAAAGCATTTCACTTGAAGATCTTCAAGAGCCACAACAACTAAAATGGATGTAACTCGAAGAGAAAGTTACATTATCAATTTGTTGAATTACCACAACACTTCGAAAAAAAAAAAAAAAACGAAAAGAAAAACGCTTAGGAAAGAATCCCCCATCAATATTAGAAAGAGCGATAACAGTTAATATACTTGAGAAACCTATTTTTCTGACAAAATGGGTTAAAGGAAAGATTTTATAAATTTCAACCAACAGTAATACTGATTGTTCGCGCAGTGAATGTTGGCTATTCGCGTATAAGAAAACAGCAAATACTGCCAAACGACAGAAATATCTCTAGGAAACCGTAAATCAAAATGTCTTACAATTGAAAAAAAAAGAGGAAAGAGAGAGAGAAAAGGTTAAGGAGTGAATGTCAATTGAATAAAAAAAAAGAAAAAAAAAACGACGAAAAGGACAAATAAGCACAACATTCTACACGTACGCACATACTCGCAGACGGGCACATAGGTATACGCGGGTGCACACGCACACGCTCACACACACATACACACACACTATGAAAAAATTTAAATGTGAAAACAAACTGTTACTTCTTTTCCGAAAGATAAAAGAGAAGAGGTAACAATTGTTTTTTAAATTTACTTCAAAATCATTTAATCACCAGTTACTTATCATCCCCTGAAAAAGTACAATCAAAGTATTGAAACGTGAAATCTTTTGTGTAGCGATTTCAAAATTGTTTTTACTATAATCTCTCATAATAAAAAATATATATCTTGCTCTACTTTGTATTGAGCACTTTTCTAAAAGTAAAGGATACGAACTGTAGATTTTTACTCCATTTTCTTTCTCTTATTTGTATATATATATATATATATATATATATATATATATATATATATATATATATATATATATATATACAGTAGCGTCCAAAACTAGGGACAACATTTTTAAAACCTAATATTTGTTAGAAATAATAACTGTGAAAAGCTGAAATTTTGACAACTGGTAGTCGTTATCATCCATAATAACATACTAAAATTTGAATCATTTGCAAAGGATAGAAAAAGAATTATAACAATTATTTTTTTATTTTCAAATTTGGAATAATAATAAAAAGAACAATAGTAATTACCCTATCGGCTCATGTTTCATTCTTCTTTCATTTCTTTTCTTTCCCTCTTTCTCTCACTCTTTAGCTTCTCTCTCCCCTCCCACTTCTCTCTTTCTCTTCCTCCAATTTTTTAAAGTTTATATTGAAATGTTTTTTCTTTCTTCCTCTTTTATTATAAAAATTTTCCTTTTCTTCTTTTTTCTTTTTTTCTTGTCCCTTTTCTTTTTGTCTGGACAAATTGATCCCATTTATTAAAAAGAAAACTTCGGACTGAAGAGATGAATATTTTTGTATTCATGAAATAAATTATAACCGAATGGATTTTTAGGATCGTCTGTACTTATTATTATTATTATATATATATATATATATATATATATATATATATATATATATATATATATATATATAAAAGATAAAAGGAAAACTTATCTTAGCCGTCGTGTTTTGTCCTCTGAGAGACTTAATAAAGGCACACGCGTCGGCTAAGATAAGTTTTCCTTTAGTGTTTAATGATATAATATATCGGAAATGTTTAGATACACACACAAAAACATATATATATATATATATATATATATATATATATATATATATATAGACTCTCCTGTCGTTGATCGACGCGGGTTGTTGACCCTCTTACCGGGGACCCTTTTTACGACGTATGAGGGGTCAGATACCTAGGAACCGACAACCAGACACCAGCCCATATGATTTGATTATAGGGTGAAGGTTTCTGTGCAGAACCAACCACACTTTTTGAAAAGCCAAATACAGAGACCTGGTGCACTACGTGCCACAAAGATCCCCAAACCCTTCGCATGTGTTGAATTCAGAGTTGTCCTTTTCCTAGATCAATTTGCTATCCAAGGCTATATATATATATATATATATATATATATATATATATATATATATATATATATTATAAATTAATTGATTTAAAATATGGTTTTTTTCGCTACACAGTTCCAACCATGTTTCAAAAATAAAAGCTAAAAACCCCGAATTTAATTTTGCAATTAAATTAAAAGCATTAGTTCCATTTCATCTTCAAGCGAATTTTGGAGTAACTTTTAAAAATTACCGGGTTTTAAAGACACAGCTAAAATCACGTTTCCATGGTTACAGAATATTCTACTTAATTGAACAAGGGATGTCTAGATTTTCCTCATGTCAGTATCATTGTATCAGTTATTAGCTACAATTTGGTAAGGGGTAGGGATGTATTTTACAATGAAACCTGACATCAGTTGAATTTTTGGAAAAAAAAATTGTTAACGGTGTGTCTTTAAAACCCGGTAATTTTTAAAAGTTACTCAAAATTCGCTTGAAGATGAAATGGAAATAATGCTTTTAATTTAATTGCAAAATTAAATTCGGGGTTTTATTTTCTATTTTTGAAACATGGTTGGAACTGTGTAAAGAAAAAACCATATTTTAAATCAATTAATTTATAATATTAATGCTCTGTAAATTTACATTGAGCACTATTTTGTAAAAATAAAAATATCTATAAGAACACCGGATTTTATATCTTACTGTTCTTTCTTTTTATTTTTATATATATATATATATATATATATATATATATATATATATATATATATATATATATAATTCACTTTTTGACTTCGTCGTCAGTTATAAACTCGTATTTCATTTAGTCATGTCTCCCGACAGATTCAGTTTTTTATTATCTGTGGCGAGACATACCTTCTTGGGAAACATAGGGGATTAACCCCCCCCCCATTCTTTGCCTTTTCTTAGAAGACCAAAGAACCCGCTATTTAACCCCTAGCTGGGGGTGGGAGGAAGTGAATTCACGCCTTTCCAAAAGCATTCGGATAAATGTGAATGCAACAGGCTAGACCTGAATTTGAACTCGGGTTGCTGATTCCAACACTTTTGATATTTTTACCACTTAAATTTAAAAAAAGAAAAAAAAATGCGCACGTGAAAAAAATTCATTTCTACTTAATTACCAGAGAGAATGTCTCCATAGATATAAAATAGTCATTACAAATACCTAAGGTAAATTAATTACTACTTCCCAGAAATTAATTTGTAAATAATCGAATAACGTCAAACAAAAACTTCTTAACATATTTTCCCCAAAATATGTCAAGGAACACATAAAATTAACAAAAACTACAATTTAGATATAACAAAAAAATAATAATAATTTATTCGATTACGACCAGATGCATCCTAGTAAGAAAGACAAATTAAAAATACATTAAAATTTAATTCGTCCCTACATAATGACTGTGATAAATACCTACAATTTATGATATATTTTAAACATTTTTAAACATCACTATAACCATTACTAATAACACTGGATCTCAAAAATTTCTTATCATTATATATATATATATATATATATATATATATATATATATATATATATATATATATATATATAAACAACAACAAACAATGATGTTTATGAATTCCAGTGTCCATTTTCGAGATTGCGTTTCTAACACAAATAATCAAAAACGACATTACATTCTTATATTGGTTACACAACCACCACACTCTGTCGGAGGTTAACTTGCCACATCGAAACTAAGTGCAATTAGTACACCTACTGATCAACACAAAACAAACAAAAAATATGTCTATTAACATGACAGATATAAGTAGATAATACTAAGACACTATAAATCAATAATTGTAAAGAGAAAATCGAATTGCTAGCAGAATTAACATACAAAAAGAAATAACCTCCATCAAATGCAATGTTTATCACTCTGGACCTTAAAAATAAAAATGAATAATCTCTTTGTACAGTATTTACATTAGTCGGACTATTGTCCTCACCTTTGTCGCCATATTTGTCACACTTGTACACTCCGACCTTCTTCAGGTGGTTGGAATTTCGAACTGAACCCTTTATTTCGATCACTGGGGTAGACTGTTCTAGTTCAACGTGCCATGTTTTGATGGATGTCAGTTATCAGTAATCTCCTACTAATTTTCCCTCTGAAAGTTCTCCACTGCCTTAACCGGGTATTGAACTCACACTCTTTGGGTCTATCACTGGATCTAACCAACGCCTTTATCCACTGTGCCAAGGACACATGTCACATTGAAACTAAGAGCAATTAGTACTCAGATTGA